AAAAAAAAAAAAGTTTATCAGTTATTTAAAAAGTCAATAAAAACTGAATGACACTGCTCTGTCTATAAATATCAAGACAGTCTCTCATCGAGTCAATAATTTATTTTCTAATTATCAAATGACCAAAGACCTTCTAAATTTGCCTTGAGGAATAAGGGTGAACAGATAATACTGCATTCATTTTTTTTTTTTTTGAGACAGAGTCTCAAGCTGTTGCCCTGGGTAGAATGCTGTGGTGTCATAGCTCACAGCAACCTCAAACTCTTGGGCTCAAGCAATCCTCTTGTCTTAAGTTTTTCTTTCTTTTTTTCTTTCTTTTTTTTGAGACAGAGTCTCAAGCTGTCACCCTGGGTAGAGTGCCACGGTATCTTAGCTCACAGCAACCTCCAACTGTTGGACTCAAGTGATCCTTTTGCCTCAGTTTTTCTATTTTTAGTAGAGATGGGGTCTCACTTTTGCTCAGGCTGGTCTTGAACCTGTGAACTCACCTTGTGAATCCACCCACGTTGGCCTTCCAGAGTGCTAGGATTACAGGCATGAGCTACCACGCTTGGTCTATACTGCACTCTTTTTTTTTTTTCAGTAGAAACAGAATTTAATATAATATACAAGTCTAGCATTTGTTATTTACATATACTGCACTCAAAAATTTTATGTGACACTGTAGCAAGTTCTTTTCACATATTAACTTGCCACTCCTTCCAAAACTTTAAAGAGGTCAGTACGATGACTGCTCCTGTTTCACAAGGGGGACCCAAACACTAACAGTGAAGTGGCTTGCTCAGGGTCACTATCAAGTGTCAGAGCCAGAACAGATTCAAACTGAGGCCATTTGGCTCCAGTGCCCACACTCTACATAGCCAGTCTTGCCACTTGATAGCAGCAGATGCCCGCACCACTGACGTGCTAGGATGTCTGTGTATGTAAAGCGTGTAAAGTCAAATAAAAGCGCATGGCTGGTATCAAATGTCTCTAAAACAGAGAGACAAGTGTATAGTATATGCATGTGCAGCGAAGCCTAGCATACTTCTCTAAGAGTTCCTAAAGCTTGCTTCTAGTTGGAGTTGACAACAGGGGAGTTTAAAAATGCTCTTGGTGCCCATAGCTCAGTTAGAGGGTGCCAGCCACACACACCAAGGCTGGCAGGTTCAAACCCGGCCCAGGCCTGCTAAACAATTAGGACAACTGCAAAAGAAAAATAAAACAGCTGAGCATTGTTGTAGGTGCCTATAGTCCCAGCTATTTGGGAGGCTGAGGAAAGAGAATCACTTAAGCCCAAGAGTTT